GTATAAACAAGAACTGCGACCGGCTATTTAGAGAAGGGCCAAAAGTCGTGACACCAACCGAAGACAGCTAATTCATGTTAATTCAAACTATTGCGATAGCCTCGGATTTGCATAATTTAAGAATTTTGCAGGCTACTTGAAGAAATCTGATGATTTACATATAAATTTTTTTTTCGATTTTACTATGGGATTACAGACCTTCATGTTCCTTCCACATGAACAATAAATGTTTTCCTAAGCTCTTACAAGTTTAATAAATAGCTCGAAGCAATATTAATGAATCATGTATTTTATCATGCCAAAGGCTGTGCTTATTATCCTTCTCATATATTTTATAGCTTTAAAGTTTGTAAATTATAAAATTGCAAATTGCAAAAGTTTAAATATCTAAGTACTTTATTATGTTAACTTGAAAGGGGTTTCTCAGTGCTCGTCACATGGACCTTCATAGAGTGTTAGAAATTATTTTCGGAAATACGAAGTCCAATAATCGATTATTATCGATAAAATATAATTGGTAGGATATTGGAACTGTGTAACCGACTATACGTTTAAAATTTCAATTTGTGGTTTCTGAGATCTCATCGTTCATACGAACGGACAGTCGGACAAGCATAAATTGACTCAGATCGTGGCTATGCTTTCTGCTTCATTGATTTTCACAGGAACCAACACCCTAGCTTCCAATTTTCGATTTTGTAAGTTTCTTAAAAAAGAAAGAATGCTATACTAATGTTTTTTGGCTTAGGATTTATTGTTCCTCTTTCTTTCATAACTTTATGTTGTTTGATTGTCATCCCCGTACTCTGACGATATTCCTTTACACATTTGCAATAGCTTTCAAGTTATAATCCTTAAATCCTTAAAGCTTCTTTATTGCTTCTCATTCACAACCATTCCAACTGCTGGTTATTATTCCCGATATGCGCATTCATTCATTCATCCAATTTGATTTGACTATTAGCTTATTATAGCATCTTTTATTCGAAGAATTGCCGACCGAACTACCCATACTCGTGAGCCAGGCGTGTATCTAAGACACGCGCCCATCTCTAGCCGGGGATTGCCTTCTTAAATCTTGTTACTATGGCATTTGGCTGCCCATTTGCTCCATCAATCAGGAGCATTGAGGACGTTGGGGACTGAATCCTGAGGCTGGCGCATTGTCAACTTTAAGTTAATTACGAAAGTTTTGCGCTTGATTGATTCTCGCACGCATGGCACAACGAGCCAGACAATGAGCGAGATAGAATGAGATAATAAGTGACAGAGACAGATACAGATAGAGAGAGAGAAAGAGAGAGAGAGAAAGAGAGAGCGAGAACGAGGCATAGAGGGATATTCAAGAAATCAGTGAAAGATTCACTCGCTGATGCAGCGAAGCGTGTAATCCGGTCGTGTTGCCTGCCCCACGGCTGGCTCTGATTGACATCAGGCACTTAACGCATTTCTGTGTCGCCCCAAAGTGGACACAAACTTTACGTTAGTTGGCACGCCCCAGCCCCACCCCACCCCGTCACGCCTCGCCACGCCCACCACTGCGCCCTGCGGCCGTCGTTAATGAGCCGCAAGTGCGCAACAGTTGAGCAGAGCTGAACCGAGCCGAGCAGCTGCCGTCGCCGCATGAGTTGACAGCATGTGAATTCGTCCCTGTGCCACGTGCCACACAAACACAATTTGGCCCAAACTATATGTTGACAACTCTGCGAGTAAATCAAATTAAAGCAGAAATAATGCCAACTGCTAACTGCTGACGAACGACAGCTTTTATTGCGTTATAATAAAATTCCGAAATAGTTCAAGTTCCTAAACAAAAAGTTAATAGAAAAAGATTTCTAATCATCTGTGAGGGAATCCTCAATCCTGAAGAATCTCAAGTGAGCTTGAATGAGAATGAAACAAATCTATATTTCTGTAAATAAGAATTTAAGTCTGGGCAAGTCTATAAAACTCAGTTAAGAGTAATTCAAACTTTTGTTACAAGTGTATAAATTATTTTATATTTCTCCCATTCACATAGTGAAACAACTTGTGCAATATCCGTTTTTTCTCCGTCCGTCCATCTCTCCGTCTGTCCAATATATTCTCATGGGTTTTCTCGTCTTAAAATGTGTAAAGATTTTCCCGTTACTCAGTGGTAAATCAGGTAAAATTGTATCTGCCACATTCATAGCCAAGAGCTTAAAAGCTCGTAGGTTGAGTTTCTGCTGACCTTTACAAACCGATGACCCAAAAATAAATTGTACGCCTCTTTAAGGGCACCAAAACAACTCCCAGCCGTCTGCAAAATTCTTACTTGTTATTGTTGACTGTTTCCAAGAAAAAGGCAAGAACATTTGTTGGCTCTTTCGAAAGGTTCTTTAGCTTATTAAATTTTTCTCGGCAGGACTAGCCCAAGATATCGGCTTTTTGACTACTTCTTTTGCAGGCAATATAAAAATCTATAGTACCTAAAATAATAGAAATTACGAAACTTCATCTCAGATTCTTGAGAAAGTCAATATATTCTTTCATTATTTGGTTTATTATAATTCATTTGAATTCTATTGTTAGTTCCATGGATTCTGCAATATAATAACAAAACAAAAACAAAACAAAAACAAACAAATAAAATGAAATTAAAAACACTTTTGATCCCCAATTGCCCATCCATTAAAACGTCAGGTTCAATATTTTTAGTGGCTTTGTCCTTTATATAATACTCATACTTTTTGTCTGTGTATGTGTGTGTGTATGACAGAGACAGAGTGGTAGAGACTGTGACAGAGGCATGGCACAACTGTTACAATTTGCATTTTATCTCAATGCCTACGAATAGTTTTTGTCTTGTTGCTTCTTATCTACACAATATCAGCATGAATAATTAATGGTTCTGCCATATTTTCATTTTGATTTGTTTTTGTTTTTGTTTTTTATTTATTCAGATTTCATCAAACACATGCAACAGTTTCGTTGCAAGTTATGTAGGTCACTTCAGAAATTGAGTTAGCTATGCAAATTGTTGAAGAGTTCATTTGTTGCATAGAGAGCAGTGGAAAAATATATATGTATGTATGTATGTACAGTTATGCCCTTGGCTGATATCAGTTGGGCAGCGAGAAGCGCAGGGAGAAGCTCAAAGTGATTTGTCAAGCGATAGTGATTAGGAATTTGTTTGAATACCCTTTGAACTGGATTCCATCGCTAAATCGTTCCATCTAAGCGCAATTTACAAAAAAAAAAAAAAAAACATGCAACTGTTAAAATTTTTTTCCTGAGCTAATTTTTTATAGATTTATCTGTTCTTTTCTCATTATGCTTTTCTACAAATATACAAATATTGTTCTGAGATTATCTTACACATCTCTGAGCATTTCAAATTGGGAGTATTATCTTTTCCATGTGAAGCGGCTGCCCAACTTCTTTTTCTGCCGTTCTTAATAATCTTATTTTGTTGAATTTTGGGACGATCTTGTTAATGTTGTTTTAGTTTTGCATTTATTAGCACGTCACTTCACTATTTTTCTCTCTCTCCCCCCACTCCACTTATTTCTGTATATAATTTTTGTAGTCACCTTTGCTTGAGTTAATTTTTTAACTTTAGGAATTTCTTTCCCTCACTGCCCTTGTGCTTTCACTTTATGTTTCTCAATATTGCTTATTACGGTTCTCTCTTTGTTAACTCCTCGGCAAATACTTTCTTCAACAATTTACTTCTTCTTCATACCCGTACGCTTCTCGCTGCCATTTCGTCCTTCAGCTTTAAGCCTCTTTTGTTAGCACGATAAATTCTTGACGATTAGTTAAATGCTTTGACAAATGTTAAAAAGTTGTTTCTTTTACAGTTTAACACATATGCATATATATATTTTACTTGTTTACGTTTTATAGAGTACACAATAAATTCGGTGGGCATTTAGTTAGCTTTGATTTGAATTTATGTTTAGCGAAAGTTTTCTTTTTTCAACTTTTTCATTTTGTTATTATTTTAGCGTAAATCAAATTTAAAGTCGTCGCTTGGGACGTCACACGCAGCGTATGCGCGATGCAGATTGCGTATACGCCATGTTTTACATATATTTATATTATTTACTTTCGTTAAGGGCTTGGTAAAAGTTAGCGTGTGTGTATATGTGTCGGTGTGTATTTTGTTGTTGTTGTCGTTGCTTTTTGTTGCGCACTTTACAAACTGCTGCAAATTAAAAGTTGGACCAAGCGAAACATATTTATTTTTTTTTTTACATTTATATTTCAGCTGCAGTCGAATCAACATTCAAGTTCGGCCCGTGCTGGCATGTATTCATGTATTATGTGTGTATGTGTGCGCGTGTGTATATGTGATTGTCTGCCAAATGATAAAGTGCACTTGAGAAATCTGTGAGTGAAGGTTAAACAAAGCCAAAGTCCTGGCCAGCACTGCGGCAGGCAGCTGCTCGCGAGCTCCAATTACAATTTGCGCATGTGAAAATAGTTAAGTGGGTGGGTATGTGTGTGTGTGTGTGTGTGTGTGTGTGTGTGTGTATGATAGATGAAGTATCTGGGATATAACTCTGCCGTATTTGACTTTAGAAGCGCTTGAGTTAGTTAGATAGATAGATTAATAGAAAAGACAGTAGGCAACCGCAGTGTAAATATTTGTTCTTAAACATTTCGCTTTAGATATTCTAAAAGAGAGTTACATAAATATATGCAATGTATATATAGATATATAGTATATTTTTATATGTATATAGAGTTTTACTAAATTCAATAACGTTTTAGGCTTAGTTAATAACAACAGTCAACATTTAACAGTCATTCCGATATGAGTTTCATTTGCATTTTGTGTGTTTTGGAAGAGATTTCTTTGTTTGTTTGCCAAGTCTAAAGTTAATTGGATTCCTTTTGTTTTTTGTTTTTAGTTTCGTTTTTGATTTGGTTTTTGATATAGTTGGCGCTCATTTGGAAAATATATATCTAGTTACTCAAAGGAGCTTAGTTAAATACACACTTAAAAATATAAATTTATTAAAACACATTCATCTATTTAAATACTTTAATATGTTAATGTTAGTTCTGCTGGATTATATACTTTAAGCATATGCCTTCATATTTTTTGGAAAAAAATTGACAGTACATTGTTGAATTGAATTTAAATTTGTTTTTGGAACACATAGAAATATAATGCTATTTGTGTATGTATGTGTGAGCCTATCTCTCAGCTAATTCCAACTGCCACGCGTCTGCTTAACGCTGTTATCAGCCCAAAAAAAAAAAAAAAAAAAAAAACAAAAACAAAAATTAGGTTTGCTTTTGGGCTATGCCAAGGCCAGACGCCCGAACTGGTGATAAATGCTGCCGCGCTGCCTCGCTGCTGTCTGGGTCTAGCAGGCAATCCAATCAAAACATCCGCCATAAACAAAATGCCACAATCGCAACTCGAGTCGGGGGCCTGACCGCGCGGCCCAAAACGCCAACGACTTGAGCACATGTGAGCAATGCGTCTCTAGCAAGCTTATAAGAGGTGGGCACGTAGTCGATGTTCCACAATTTAAATTAGCCTCAAGTTCGCCTTGCCTAATCTATGTGGATTCCGGGGAGATGTTGCTGTCAACGCCCATATTGCCCGAAGCCAGCCTTGCCTTAAATTTACCATTCGCCAAGTCTACGTTCATGTAAGTTGATAATAAATTGTGGCTGCTCTCAGTTTTATCTCTTTTATAATTAATTTTATCTAACCAAAACTTGAGCTGGTTTTATTTTATACCTTGAGCCAGGTCGCTAGCAAAGCGAGGCTTGAGGTTTATTTTAAATTCACTTAGTTCGTCCTTTGTACATTCACCAATGTCAGCTTGAGTTTAAGTAGATTAGAAGTTATCCTAAACATTCAGATAGTAAAATTTCGAATGCTTCATTTGAAATTCATATTGATAGAGTTGAGACCAACATTTTCTATTGGATATATAAATTTAGTAGAGACTTTCTAGTTAATTTCTGCTAAAAGCTGTATATCTAAGCTAAGTTGATTTCAGTTTCAATATTGAGCTCCAACTAGAGATGGAAGAATAACATTTTTGAATCGAATGAATGAAATAATATAATTAATTAAAGTTACGCGATTATTAATTTCAATTAATCGACGAAAAATAATCGAGTCATCAAGGGCGCTCTGCTCATAATGAAAATACTCTAGAGACCGACTCGATTGATTTTTGGAATAATCTATGTATTATCACTGACCAGAGAACAGGTCAGTGGTATTATTCAATAAATCGCAAATTTCCATACAATTAAATCGATAAAATAATCGATTTTTGTGTATCATATGATCGTGCCATTACTAGCTCCAACTGACATCTCACATTTTAGCTTATCTGCTTCTTCTATCAAATTGAATCATATGCGAAAACAATCTATGACAGACATATTTCATATATTACGGTCAAAGTTCTAGCTTATTAAGGAATAGCTTTTCAGCACTTAGACGAGTCTCTTTATTTAATACACAAGCTAACAAAAGTTTGAGTAAATATTTTGAAAATGATGTCCTCACTTTTCCATTTTCTACTGTCATAGCTAATGCCAGTTGTTCGGCTTTGGGCTTATTCACCTAATGCCCGTTCGTAGCATTGCGATGTTATTAACACAAAGTTTAGAAAGCTAAATTCGCCTGTTTGCTCAATCCACAGTTAATAAGAAAATAAGCAGACGCAATCTATTGCAGCACCTGCTAAAGGCAGTTGTTAACTTTGGCAAGAGCTTGAGTAACGAGCCCAAATGGCTTTGTGAAAGACGCAAATTTGTGAACAATTTGAGGCTCGGCACCTGCTCTTAGCCGATATGAGAAACCGTCCTCACATATACATACATATACTAAATAGGTCCATAGCGCACACAAATTGGCTGTAACATATCTTATATAATTTGTTTTTGTTTTTTTTTTTTCCTCTTTCCCTTTTGAAATTTGGAATTTTTTCGACTCAACATCCATAATAATTTGTATATGTTTATAATACTCGTAAAAATGCCTTTAAAAAGAGAACATCAAAACAGTTTTAATGCAAGCTGAGCATTGGCTATATAATATATAAATATATGAATATATATATGTATATATATTTATGTTTTATATATGGATTTTATATGGCTTTAAAATGCTAGCAAAATAATCTTTGTTTAGCTCTGTTTTGTTTTTTTTTTTTTTTTTTTACTTGTATTTTTTTTCTCCATTCTCTTTTGGCTATTGATTTCTGCTATGTTTGCTTTGGGGGAATTTTTGCTTTGTTTTGCTTGCTCCATTTTTTTGCATTGTTTACAGCACGTGAAGATTTTCACAGCTTTTCGACTTGGAAATATCGCTAAGGCAAATTTTTTGCAGTATTTCCTTGGCCAGATGCAGCGAGATGTGAGTGCGTGAGGTCTTCATCTTCGATGAGGTAGCCTTCTTCTCGCGCGTCTCCTTGAGCCGCATCTGCAAAGGTAATGTGAGTAACACGGCGATTTGTATGGCAGCTGAATTCGGAAAATGCTATGCATTGTAGCTGGCCCACTTTTAATACCATTCTGGCAGTCCGACTGGCGCGGCTCAGCTCAATTTTCATTAATTAGTGAAACGATGTGAGAGGCTAATGCCCACAACCGAACGTACCACAAATCCATTTAAGTTATTTCCTGCACAATTTTCGCATGCATCAATGAGTTGCGTGTATTTCGCACCTAAACCTAAATCACCCCTCAGTCAGCCCGACCCCCGGGATTACGCTCCAACCCCAACCGGAACGAAAGCTACTGCTGCTCCTGCTCCTGCCCCTCCTCCTGCTACTTATCTGGCTTACCTGTTTCAGTATCCCGACGAGCAGCTCATCGACATTGTGTTGTATGCCGCTGGAGGTCTCAATAAATTTGGCATCGCGTGAGGCAGCCAGCGTTTTGCCCTCTGTGTGTGCGTCAAAGCGTGAAACATGAATTATTAAATGTAAAACGAGAGTTGAGAAATGAGAAATCATAATTAAGACAGGATACATCCGTCTAGGCGTCTGTCTTTATTTAACAAGAGCTGAAAGCCTGAAGGATTCACTCCTATTAGTCAGCACAAATAGCGGGTCAAGGCTTAGTATTGTATTTATACTGAATTGAAAATTGTAGTAGACAGTAATAATAATAATAATAATAAACTTCGTATATTCATCGTGAATCAAATTCTATAATTCTCTATACACTCATTCTCTTGGATATTTAATATTTTAATCGTGTATACTCTATCTATCTATCTATCTCTATCTGTATACTTTCCCATATTTATAATCATAGTATTCTATTCCTTCTCTAGTAGTTTTTATCAATTGGTATTCAATTCAAGCAAAAATTACGCAATATGCCTATGTAATTATTTCACTACTTTTAAATACAATATGATTAATAATATTTTTAAATATATTTATAATCATATACTCATCTGTGAATCATCGACTAATATGACTAGCTCCGAGCTATCATTGCTTTTGATATATTCTAACTTAAGATATGAGTATAGTTGAAGCACGGAGAGTTCCTTGGACTTCGAACCTCTTTGATATCCTTCAACGTCATTTATACTCATTAAACTCATTAGCTCTCATCGCAGAAGCAATTCGTTTCGATTATTTCGTTGAGTTCATTTCACGTTGCTCAACGTAAACGGTATCTTCTTATCGTTGCGAGTCGCACCCATCTCTATTTATAACCTCCCGCTCTGTCCGAGCCCATTACTCACCCTGTGACGTGATAAGCCTTGCGCGCGCCAAGTCCGCTTTATTGCCCACAAGTATGACTGCCTTGTCCTTGGTGTAATTCTCTTGCCACAGATAGTTGATAATCTCCTCGGCGATGCGGAACGAGCCTTTGTCCACCACAGAGAAGACCACGACACAGCCGTGCGGCTCGTAGGTGGATAGGGAGTTCTCGACGCTCATCTCAACGCTGGGATGGTCGATGAAGACCATGTCGGACTCCTCGTCATCGAGCAGGACGCTGACCGTCTTCTCGCCGAACTCATCGTCTAAAACTCAGATCAGAATTAAACTCTATAGACGAAATTGGAAACCAGCGGCAATCGGGATCGACTGAGGATCATACGACACGCATAGGTTTCATCAAAGGGCATTAATCGTTACTCACTCTGCATACTCACACCCACACATCCAGAGGGGGGAGGAGAGAGAGAGAGAGAGAGAGAGAATTGTCAACTTACCCAGACTTGCATCGTACGTGTGCATGTACTCCGATGTCATGAACTGATTGACCAACGCCGTTTTGCCCACGCCCGCATCGCCCAGCATTACGACCCGATATCGAGCCGGGGGCGGCGGATCCATGCTCTCCGAATCATCGGGCGAGGCGGGCAGCGAGTCCACATTCGCATAGCCCGCACCACAGCAGCTGCCCTCGAAGGGTGATCGTTCACTGGCGCGACTATTCGTCGAATTGACGCTTGTGTTGCTGCGCGATCGTCGCGATATGATCGAATCCCCACAGTTCACCACGTTGCCTTTGCTGATAGAGAAGTGGCGCAGCCGATAGAGATCGTCACTGGCCCGTGGATTGTACGGACGCTCGGGCAACGAACAGACGCGTGGGCGTACATGATCCGGAACTGTTAAGAAAGTGAATTACTCTCATAGAGATAGCTGCACTTCAGTATATGATATAGCTAACTTATCGTAGGGATAACTTAGGCTTAAGGAATTCCCTGCAAGATGAGCATAAAAATGAAACATTTGATTTACTGCTAAGAGTTTAAGTGGATTTTCAGCTAAATAACAATACGAATACTTAAGGGATATACCTGCAAAGATATCTGCGACCATCTCATCAATGTCGAGGTATGTCAAGTTTATTTGTATTAATAAAATACAATTTGAATCACGCCATCGGTCCATGTTGAGCCTAACAACACGCCTCTTCGTTGCCTTGTCATCATGATCTTATCATGACTCCACTATTTAATTTTATACTGACTACGTCTTATATTGACTCCACTCACCCAACCCACAGAATATCTGATAATTATAATTCTTCATATTCAGTTAGACCACTTGGATATTATCACATCATATGAGTCCATTATAAAAACTTAGAGTCACAAATTTACCATAATTAATAATTTAAAATAAATAAAATAAACAAATTACTTATTATTAATTTTACAATAATTAATAATTTACAATAAATAAATAAATAAAATAAATAAATTTACACAATTATTATTTTCATCCACAAGTAAAGAAATGTCATAAAAGGGAATGTCTGATAGTCTAAGTGTGGCCCTCAAAATAATTAGGGAATGAACAGATAAGTAGCTTCAAAATATTTTTAAAACACCGAAGATAGTTAGCAAACACTAACAGAAAGCTATGCAGTGATACGAAACTGAAAATGTTAGAAACTAGGGAAAGAGAAACTAGAGAAACTACATTATATAAATTGCTGAGATATAAGAGTGATAGGGTAGAAGATATGTATACTTGAAACTATACACTGCGCGTCATCAGGTTAGCGCCTCCTTTACACTCAACCTCAAAGCTAAATAAAATCTAAACCAGCAGAGCTCCATCTTTGAAATTTTTTTACATTACACTCCATTTATTTCTCTTTAAAATACAAAAAGAATGTCTAATGTCTCGACTAGAGCTTTCTTACTTGTTTAATAATTTTTTTTTGTAAAATGTACAAAAAACATGTAACAAAAATTTGGTCATCAGATTAGCGCCCCCTGCGCTAAATTCAATTTATTTAAGTTAATTGCCAAAAATAACACCTGTATTTTAATCTATTGTTATTTTTAAGTAATATTAGTAGTGCGTGGTGCCGTTTTCTTTATACCCTGAACCCATTTTCAATGGGAAATCAGGGTATAATGGTTTTGTTGAAATGTATGTAACAGGCAGAAGGAGGCGTGGCAGACCCCACAAAGTATATATATTCTTGATCAGGGCGACGAGCTGAGTTGATTTGGCCCTGTCCGTCTGTCTGTCCGTCTGTCCGTCTGTCCGTCTGTCCGTCCGTCCGTCTGTCCGTCTGTCCGTCTGTCCGTATGTATGAACGCGTCGATTTCAGAAGATATAAGAGCTAGAGACTTCAATTTTTTTTAAATTGTCCGTAATTACAGCGCGCATATCAAGTTTATCATTAAAAATCGATAACTCATCCCGATCTTTTTTTATCGATAAAAAACCTTATCGAAAACCAGTTATAAAATTATATCTTCTACACCTTTATTGCTAGAGTCTCCAAATTTTTTATGTATGCTTATATGCAATTTATTCAATTTCGGTTTTTGTTAAAATTTACCCCCCACCCTTAAATTCACCCCCTCACCCTCACTTTTGTAAAAAGCGTATTTCAAATACTAGAGACTTGTGCTTTGGCAATTACATGCATATTCATGTTATAATCATAATCTGAAAGTTTCATGAAGATCGTACCTTCATAAAAAAAATTATTAAGCAATTAAGTTCTCATAGTAAGCGCACACTGCAGCCCATGCGTGTTTATGCGTGGGTGCTTGTGTGTGTATGTGTTTGTGTATGTGTGTGTATGTGTTTGTGTATTGTATGAATGTGTTTGTGTGTGTATGTGAGTGTGTGTATGCGTTTGTGTCTGTATGCATGTGTGTGTATGTATGCCTGTGTGTGCGTACGTGCGTTTGTGTGTGTGTGTGCGTGTTTCTTGTATAAGCTGAAAGACGCGAAAAATTATTGAAATATCTATTGCTCCAAGGGTTTAGGGGATCTCGTAGTCGAGCAGTCTCGACTAGAGCTTTCTTACTTGTTTTTGTTTGAAATTACGTACGGAATTCGATTAGGAATGGAATTATAAAGTTGTTCAATATTATTCAAGGATATGGTTGATTAAGCGTGTTCAGTACCTTCGATTAACTCTGTCTTTGTACTATAATGCTTTCCGGACTCATATACTTTCCTGACCAACCATCCCCAGACGTTTCCAATGATATTAAGGTCGAGTGAATATGGTGGCCACTCCATGAGATCAATTTTTTGGCCCTGAATCTAGGACTTCAGGGATCGGGCGGTCTGAATTGGGGCATTATCATGCTGGAAAATCTAATGCCGGTTTTCAGACAGGTTATAGAAATGCGGAACAGCAGTTTTAAACACGATATTATGGTCCTATGCGTTCATGCGCGATGTCAAAAATTGAAGCTTGCAAGTGCTGTAGTAAGATATTGATACCTACACAAATGCCACACCACCCCCCCGCCGCAGCGGCTTGGAAACCGTTCCAAATAATGTTCTTCTATGAGTAGGTCATGGATATAATAATTATATCTATCAGTTCCTTCCAAATTCAATTTTTCTCATCAGAAAAGGCAACATGCTGCCATTGGGTAGACCACTTCATATTCGCCCGGCCAAAATTAATGCGTATTTCTTTTCTCAGCATATCGACTGGTGTCTTTTTATACCCTGAACCCATTGAAAATGGGAAATCAGGGTATAATGGTTTTGTTAAAAGTATGTAACAGGCAGAAGGAGGCGTGGCAGACCCCACAAAGTATATATGTATATTCTTGATCAGGGCGACGAGCTAAGTCGATTTGGCCCTGTCCGTCTGTCTGTCCGTCCGTCCGTCCGTCCGTCCGTATGTATGAACGCGTCGATTTCAGAATATATAAGAGCTAGAGACTTGAAATTTTTTTCCTAGGTCCGTGTATATCACGCGCATATCAAGTTTTTCTTTATATATCGATAACTACTCCCGATATTTTATTATCGATCAAAAACCTTATCGAAAGCTAGTTATTCAATTATATCTACTACACCTTTAGAGCTAGAGCTTGCAAATTTTAAATGTAGACTTATATGTATTTTATATAATTTCGATTTTTGTTGTAATTTACCCCCCACCCCTATATCCACCCCCTCACCCTCACCTTTGTAAAAGTCGTATTTCAAGTACTAGAGACATGTGCTTTGGAATGTACATACATTTTCACCATATAATTGCGCCCTGAAACTTTCATTAAGATTGTACGTCTAGAAATTAAATTATTCAACAAATAAATTTGTATAATGTTACCTACACTACAGCGCAGCCCAAGCGCAGTTAGCAGAGCTCATTCTAATACGTGTGTGTGTATGTATGTGTGTCGAAAAGAAGTGCAGACTGATTAGAATATCAGATTAGAGGGTTCAGGGTATCTCCTAGTCGAGCAGTCTCGACTAGAGTCTTCTTACTTGTTTTTACATTCTGTTTCTTTAAGTAATTAACTTTCTTAATTGCTCTTTAGACCGTTGATAAGCTCGTCCTAACACTGATTTTAACCCTAATCTTGGTGGTCGATTCGTGGGAATTCGAAGCTTCTCGAACTAATGCTCTTCTATTTCCTTCTGAAATCACTTGATTATTGCCGCTTATATAGTTTTTTCCATAGTTTTCCCTATTTGTAAGAAAATTGCCACTTAGTTTTCTGTTTTTTCCTGATTTTTCAGCAATTTTATGGTTGCATAGTTTAGATTCAAAGTATGCCTCAATCTTTGATTTTCAACCAAAGATAAAACTGTTTCTTTACCCATACTATAAATATATTGAATACTTTGAGCTTCACAAAAAATTTGGTGAGTGTAATTGCCAAAATAAGTAAGATAATTACAATTGCATTTGGGGGCGCTAATCTGATGACGCAAAATAAGCGCACACATTTTTTGCGAAAATAGAGAAGGATAGAAAATAAAACATAACGGGTTTTCACTCGCGCTTTTTTTTGGTATGAGAGACATCTCATATGATGATAATGAAATAAAAAAAAAACCAAGAAGTTGTGTGCAATAGACAAAGAGAAAAACGTAAAAGAAAATGAGTGTAAGGGGGGGCGCTAACCTGATGACGCGAAGTGTATATATGTACATACACATATTTGTATACATACACATACATACATATTTACATACATACATATGCATGTGTGTTACCCACCTGGTAGCTCCAAAAAGTTGGACGTGCGTCGCTGTCGCCCACGATTGGAGCTCTGGAAGGCCAACGGACCGATGTCGTCGTTGGAGAATATGGAAGCATTCGAGCAGGCGCTCTTCATGGACTCGCGCGAGCTGCGACGACTGGCCAGGTAGGCCAGGCCACCCTTGGAGCTGCCACGGCGTCTTGGCTTGTACTCGACGGTATCTCGCTTGGGCTTGGATGGCTTGCAGCCGCTCAGCTCGTGCTCGGCATCCTGGGTCAAGTCGCTGGTCGACTTGCGATAGCGCAGCGACACAACGCTGTCCGAGCAGGTGCGATCCAAGGTGGAGTGGGAGCTGTGGAGCACCTGGTAGCCCGGATTCGAGGTGATGTTGATGGCATGCCGACGCTGGCGGCGCTGCTGCTGCTGCTGCTGCGGCTGCTCTTGTGGCTGACCCTCCGTGTCCGTGTAGCTGAAGCTCGTGGTGGTGGTGGTCGTGTGCTGGGTCGCCGTCTCACCCGACTCGTTGGACAGCTGAGTGCACTCGGTGACGCAGGAGTCACGCTTTAGGCCATAGTATCCGGGTGTGGAATAACCGCCAGATGATCCAGTTCCTGTTCCGCCTCCACTCCCTCCGCCTCCTGCTGCTGCAGCTGCTGCTGCACTCAGGGATCGCGCATCGACCTTCGTTATGATGGGCAGCTCCCACTCGTCCCGCCGTCGCTTGCCGGCCACACCGGTTGTGGTTAGCTGCGGCACCTGCTCCAGCTGCGTCGCGTGGCCACGAATGAGCTTCTTGGAGCCCTGGCGCCTGGGAGAGCTGGGTGGCTCATAGTAGAGCGAGCCGTCGTCCGGGGAGATGGGCTCATAGTACTCGAATTTCTTGCCCAGCGCTGCTTGATCCATGCCGCCAGCTGGGCTGACTGCGTCGAAGACGAATTTGCACGGCGACTTCGGACTGTGGGTCAGCAGCGAGACGGAGTCGTCAACGGAGCCCGACGGGGGCGTCTGATAGTAGGACGAGGGCGTCGAGCTGCTGGCCTCGTCGCAGCTGTCGTTGGCATAGGTCGTCGTTATTTTCGGACTGCGCGGCGGCTGATCGTAGTTGCCATAGCCGTAGCTGCTGCTCGACTGCGTGGGCGTGGCATAGACGGAGGGCGGCGCCGCGTAGTAGCTTCTGCTTGGGGCGAGGCCTATTTTTGAATTGAACGAATTGAATGGGGCCTCTGCCGACTCACCTGGGCGACTTGGGCGTGGCGCCTTTGTAGGGCAGCGGATTGCTCGCAGCACGCGCTGGCGTCTTGTGCCCGCCATGGCCGTGCGCGTGGGCGTGGCCGTGGGCGTTTGTCTGTGTGTGTGGGTGTCCGTGTGTGCCATAGTTGGAGGACGCATCGCCGCCATCCCAGCTGTGCTGCTGCTGTGCCATGTTTACCAAATACTGGCGGGGTCCGGGGACTGGGCGGACGGTCGAGTAGGTTTAATGCTCCAGCTGCTGATGCTGCTGTAAGTTGAATGCCACTCATGTGTAAATATCACGGGCCATTACTCAACACAGGCACACACTCACACACACACTCACTCGCACACACTGTGCACACATAATTTATGGTTTTATCTTTATTTAATAAAATAATGCAAACTACAATAAAACCAAAACTCATAAAATGGCTACGCTGACTTCCATGTCTACATCCAACATCCAACATTAAATGTTGTCCGCGGGCAGCTTCTCTGTATGCGGGTCTGTGTGGGTGTGCGTGTGTGTGTGTGCGTGCTGCGTGTGTCAGCAAATTATTGTGAAATGTGCGTTCAGCTCGCTTTAAGTTGACAGCCCAAGTGGCCGTGGCCTTGGCTCTGGTCCTGGCTGAGACTCCACACATATCAGCAGCTTCTCAGCTTGCTCTCTCCTCCCTCTCTATCTCTCTCTCTCCCACTCGGTTGGCATTGCACGCATGCCACCACAGTCATTGTTGCATGCAACAGTTGGCTTTTGCCATGCGTTAAAAATTAATGCTTGTTATACCCTGTTGCCACATTGTAAATGGGTTAAGACGCTAATATTGTTAGATTGTAAGGAAAAGAGACACAGATAGAGAGAGTGAGCCAAAGAATCTGTTAATGTCCAGCTTGGACTTTACATTTTAGTCTAATATCTTACAGAAGTGTGTTTGGATGGGTTGACTTGGAAACTATTCAGATCTAACTCATGCTTCATACATATAATTTCTGTATGGAAATTTCCTTTTAAATAATATAATATTTGTATATTAAAATTTCTCAGATCAGATCTGCATTGACGCAAACATTTTTATACCCTGAACCCATTGAAAATGGGAAATCAGGGTATAATGGTTTTGTGAAAAGTATGTAACAGGCAGAAGGAATCATCGCAGACCCCATAAAGTATATATATTCTTGATCAGGACGACGAGCTGAGTCGATATAGCCCTGTCCGTCTGTCCGTCCGTCCGTCCGTATGAGCAAAAGGATCTCAGAAGTTATAAGAGCTAGAGAGCTGAAATTTGGCATGCATACTCGTGTATATCATAGGCAGTACGAGTTTGCTTTATTTTTTCGATAACTCATCCGATAACTTTTTTATCGAGAATAATCGAAAAATCGACATTGTTTTTTCAGCCTAATTTGAACACTTTTCAACCAGGAGACTTCAAATTTGCGTTGTATATAAAGTTAATCGATACAAAGATTTTGTAATTTACAGATTTTGGATACCACGCCCCCTTCTCCCCCAATTTGTAAAAAACGCATTTCAAGTACTAGAGACTTGTGCTTTGGAATGTACACACATTTTTACTATATGAACACATTCTGAAAGTTTCATAAAGATACTCTTACAACAGAATTTACAAGAGAATTTATTCAACTAATAAATTCTCATAATATTGCCCACATTGCAGCGCAGCCCAAGCGCATTCGCTGCTTACTGCGCATTTAGCAGAGCGCGTGCTTATAAGTGCATGTGTATGTATGTGTGCATAGAAGAAGTGCAGAATGATTAGAATATCAGCTTGGAGGGTTCAGGGTATCTCCCAGTCGAGCAGTCTCGACTGGAGCCTTCTTACTTGTTCATTATTGCTCGATGATATCTTCTGATTTTTTTGTACTCATGCATGATTATAGCTTGTAAAGCCCAATAATAAACTCAGCTCTATCATTAATCATTATCAGTCAAATTTTAACTGACTTGAAATAGTTATTCAACTTAACTTAGTAATAATATTTGCCTTTAATTTTAGTAATATAATATTGATATGATATTAAATTAAATATATCCAATTTATATAATCTTATTCATAAACATATTATCGTTAAACCTGATTGAATTGATAATTTCGCATTCGCTCTCTCTCTCTCTCTCTCTCGCTTTGTCTCTCTCTTTCTTTGTATATCTGGCTCTCTAATGCTTGTCTCCTTAAATTTCTTTCTCTCCTTGTTTCTCTGTCCCCCTGGTTTTTGTAATATTGTTGATTTTATTAAATCAATTAATATTATAGATCTGCTATAAATTTAAATATATCGTAATTCTGTGTCTACTTATTTTAACTGCTCTAAAGAGCTTTACAAACTAAATTTGCCGTATGCATTTTCACATAAACAACTTATGTATATATATGCTTAATCCTTTACGATATCTTTTTTGGCAGAGTATACATATATCCATAGAGTGCACTCTATTAAAGCTCAGCTGCCTTTTTTCTGCAAGCTGCCAACCCACATCAGACCTTGTACACACACAAACAAAAGCACACAAATGCACACATATATATGTATGTGAGTGTATATACCCACTCACACACAAATAGTCGCACCCTCGCTCCTTGCACAAACTTTTGTGCATTGGCCACAAAAGATTTGTGCCCGAAGTTATCGTGAAGCACTTTGCTGCACTTACTTAACTTCGACCAGGTCTGCGACTGACTCGAACTTGAATTCGAAGTCGACGGCTGTGGCGGTGGCTGTGGCTGCGTTTGTGTCTGCGTCTGAGGAGACTGCCGCTGCTGCTCTTGCCGTTGACTCAGGTGTAATAAGTTGCCCAGTTGGCAGCGGCATTAGCTGGCAAATGTGTTGAGCGCTTTGCAGTCTCAGCTCAGAAAGTTCCCGGGACAGCTGTCACCTGACTTTATTCTGATTGTTGCAGCCAAGCGGCTCATAGAAACTATTTGTGCTATAGTTTTTATGACTGTCTGCTCCCCGACGACAATAGAAGTCAGCCGGAATGGCGTAGATTAAAGAAATAAGCTTCAAGTTACCCTGTATGAAGGATTTAGTAAGCTGTTTAACTGATGATGATGATCCTCTTTATTCTAATATATGCGATTCTAAGTTCAAGTCTGTGTATATTAAATATAGTATATAAAAATTTCAATAAATACAATGTGAACTTCAAATATTCTTAATACTCTTGGCGTATATTAAAGAGAATATTTCGTATTTTCCTCTTAATACTCTAGATGTATATTAAAGAGAATATATAGAGATTGTATAAAATTCCATAAAATAACTTTGTACATATTAAACTGTATTTTTCTTAGCGTGCAGCAGCTAATCAACTCGTTTTATAAGCGACTAAATTTGAGGGTATTAAAAAGGTATTATATATATATACATTTATATACGTATGTACGTATATATGTATATTCTAATAATCCAGCCATAAAATCGCCCTCGCTACTTACATGCGCCAACCTAGTGTCTGTCGCATTCTATTGTGCGTCTCTAGTTGCTCTAGCTCCTGTCCGCATAGCTCGTAACGTAAATCCCAGCTGTTGTCCGTCGTCCGTCCGTCGTCTGTCGCCTGTCGCCTGTGTTTTGCGCCGCTAACTGTGCTTGTGCAGCCACCTGACCCGCTGGCTAAATAACTTATCTATTGTACGAGCCTCTATACAAACAGCCGGACACCCGCCGCACTCTCCACGGCCGGACACAAAGCGTGTATACGTGTTCATAATGTAAAGCAAATAATACGAATGCGCGCACAGATAAAATACACATGTACAAATGTGTACTTATGTGCTACCTGTTGGTCGTTTATAAGGCCCCAGCCTGGTGTCTGTGTGGAGTATATTACGATTGGATAAGTTTTGGCAGCTGTGCGAGTTGTGGGAAATTAAATAACGAACAGCTGAATCGGGGGAAACATTCATTCAACTTAACTGAAAATGGCTAAGACAAAGTTTGTCAGCTCACTGTCAAGCGTCTCTCAGATTGCTCAACGTATATACAAATTTAAAAACTAATAGTATTTAATGTAGAATTTTATTTATTAATTAGAAATATAGACGAAAATTCTTGTGGACTTCTCAGTCAAATTTCCTTCAACACAAGCTTATTTGTCTTGATCAGTTCATATATATAAATATATAGAATATGAAAGTAATTCAGCTATAATAGAAATTAAATTAATTACAATTTATAGAGTTTAAAAAAAAACTCTTGAACTAAATCTTCTATCTAGCGCTACTTTCAGTAAGATCCAAATTGTTCTTCTTAGATCTTCTCTCTTGAGTTATTTTCAGGAATATCAAAATGGTACTTAGCTTATTTAAATAACGACAAAATATATTTGAAAACATTAAATAATAATGAAGAAGCTTGATAACATTATTTAAGAAAGAGTGAAACATTTATCACCTCATTTCAAGCTCTCTACTAAACTATTACCAGTACCAATTGTTTTAATAAAGTCATACAAATTAAATGTATTTCTGTAATTATATGAGTTTATATGTATTTCAAATGTACCATGTAAAATATTAGCAACATGACCAATATTGAAGCTAAACTTTGATACAATTTATTATATGACAAATATATTTCTATCGCCCATCTGCTCCTGCTTATAACAGCACAGTTTCATACCAATCTAGAGGGTATCTTACAGTAGTTCACCCTCTTTTTGTATCAACCTAATTGCGCTAGCGTAACAGGGAACCTGTCCCGTTGCCACCGTAACCAAATGCCCAAATGGACGGAGCAGAGAGTAAGGAGCAAGGAGAGGGTCACAATTGTGACATGGATGGAATAATCATAAAATCGTTGAATAGAGAACATTTCAGATGCGTTCAAGGCCAGCCATGGACATGGGCAACAACAATAAATTCAATGGGATAAAAAAGAGAAGCAGCCCAAGTAACCCAACCTACCCAACCTACCCAGCGCTCCCAGCCATGTCAGTAAGGGAGCTGTGTGTCAGCTCTCATTCAACTGGTCTTCATTCGAGTTTCTATTGGCATTATGTTTATTGTCTATGCATGAATGATAAATCTGAAAGCGAAACCCGAAAGCCCCTTTCCAGCTTTGTCATTGCCATGCCATTGCCAATGCCAATGCCAATGCCAATGCGATTGTGTTTCGAGAGAATTTAAACCAGAAATGGTATGTGGCTGGATTTTCGCAAAGTATTGTAGCCACTTCTTGCTACATGCTCCGCTTTTGACTTTGCAAAAGCTAATTTGCTCATCAGTCCATAGGAAATTTCATTGACAGTAAAAAAAAAAGTATTTATGATCTAAAGTTAACCAAATGATGAACCGAATGCGGAATTTAAATGTTGAATGTTCCGAAATAAAATTTGATGAATTTTTTATTGCGGATTTTTCAATAAATAAGTCGTTGGTATAAAAAACATAATATATTCATACTTCGTTTAGCCGAACTTGTGTGCTATGCAAATTCATTTGTTTTTTCCGGAATGCTATACAGGCGAACTTGCCTATGACGCACTATAACAATTAAGGCGGATTTGAATGCAGTATTCTAATATACTTTAAGTTATTCAACTCTTTCTTGTAATATCCGTAAAAAATAGCTTCAACTTATTTACATATTAAAAGCATCGACCCAAGCTGTTCTCTATATTAGAGTTTCACTGTATTTACGAGCTATGCATGCATTTGATCGAACAAATCTGCGAGCCAAACCAACTGAAACTGATTTGATTTAGCATTGGATTTACTTTGTCTGCGTGTGTGTGGGCGAATGCCGCTGAAAAAGGGAAAAAAGGATTTGCATATTCGGGAAAAACTCAACTGAATTGACAATGTAATTTGTTTGAGTATTACGTATGCCGAGAAAAAAAAACGAAAAATAGTTGCCCAGCAGACAAGAAATAAAGAAGAGCAAAAAGTTCAAATGTCTCTGACCTGTGGCAGAAAAAAACACAAGTTTGACGTCTGTTGCTTCCAATTGAAACCCTAATCCAACGCCAGCCCCTATTAACGTCATGGAGTATAATGAACTCAAGTGCATTTCCCACAGCCAGTAAGTTGTGGCTTGCTCTGCACTCAGAGAAAAGCGGGCAGAGTTTCAGAACTTTTCAGCTTGGCAAAAGTTAGTTATAGAGCAAAATGCGAACGGTTCTGGTTGATAACTTTTTTCATTTTTTCTTTAAAGATCTCTAATCAAATATTAATCTTTATATCATATCCTAGACACCAAATGAATGGAATTCGTATTTTCAGAATATTTTCCCAGCTGTAACTTTCATTGGAATAAGATATTTAATAAATCCCTCATTTGTTTTCGAAGTTGTTCACTTTTAATATATCTTTAAAATGATTTTTTAGAACTCACACTGTTCAAATTATTATTATTCTGCTCTGAAAGTTTTAAATGTAATCTAAGCTAAGCGAGAGATCTTTCATATATGTAAGTTTGTAAGGAGACCAACTAAGGCATCGAATATTCGTGGCGAGAACCGGAGGGATACTATAAGCGGAGTCGCCTTAAGCGGATTCCACTGTATGGCTTTTTAAAAACTTTAACATTTCTAAAACTAATTTTACAAAATATTTGAAACATTATTATATATCTGAATATATTGACAAAAGTCAATTATTATTATGTACGTGTTATTTCCTCAGCATATTTCTCAGTGAAATTTGCTGAGAAAGACAACTTTTCTTTCTCCACAGTGCACTGTGAACCGACTCCACAAGTTAAGGAGCTTACTTAACTCTTTTTTATTATGTCCTCTTCCCGGACAACCCTTTTAGTAAACTTTGCTTAATTACATGCCCGCACCCGTTAAGCACATATTTAACACACGCACACACACACACACACACAAACTCACACACATGCATGTATGCTATGGGTAAACATAAATATTTTCTCAGCAGTCGACCCCCCGCTAGACCCCCTTATAGAGTACGCCTCTGCACTCAATGCTCGGCATTGACCAGCACTTGGCTGTAGAATTAGCGTCTGTTGTAAAAATAAATGTATGTGTATGCGTGTGTGTGTGTGTGTGAGGGTGTCTGTCTGTGTGGGCGGAGTGTATTGCAGAAGCATAAACAAGAAAAGTCCATAAAACACTTAGGATCAAACAATATACGAGGAACGTCAGCAAAAACGTTGCCTATTTAGCGGCGCCCGGCGTGGTTGGTGTTGGCGTTGGTGGTGCGGTCCGGTGCGGTGGCTGAGAGGAGCATTCAGCTGGTCAACTGCTCAGTTCGGAATTAGAATTGTGGGCCAAAAGTCACGTTCGGCAACTTAGTTAATAGAGAAGCACAGCCACAGCCCCGCTGCCCTGGCTAAGCCATCGATTTTATTGCCACACATAATTCCTTTGACGGGCGGCATTTGGGCAAATCTCATGTTGATGGCATATTAAGTGGGGCAGCAGTTGCTTTTGGCGGCCAATTTGCCTTTAAATGCGTCATTTGCCAACGTTCGGGGCTAGTTTCAGTGGCAGGTGGCAGCGTTTTGTGGCAACTTACGTGTAATTAGACGCATCCGGGGGCGTCGGAGTGATTGGGGTGCGAGGATTAGCAATTAAGCGAATGTCCTGTGTGTGTATGTATGTGTGTGTGTGTGTGGGTGTGTGCGAGGTAACAAGCGCAACAAGTGCTAAAGAGCACACGCATAATCCCAGCGACTTACACACACACACACATCACATAAGCATACACACGCACACAGTGATACACAAGTATACAGAGACAGCGACTGGCAGTTGTATGCGTGAGTGAGACGCAGCGCATAAATCAACATGCCAAATCGCAGCTTAACAACAGACGCCACACACACATACAGAGACACATAGCCAGCAGCAACACACACACACACTCGCATCGCAGCTCGCATTATTGGTGCTAGAAATTAAATATTTTAGCTTTACCATTATTTTGATTTACGATGCGCGAAAATTTCCTGCAATTTTTTCACTTCTGAACTTCACTTTTTGTTCGCTAATTGTCTGCAGCAACAGTTTGTACACTTATTTTTCGTTTGGTGTTTTTTTTTTTTTTTTTTTTTTTTTTTTTTTTTGTATGTGTTGCACTTCCGTTTCCGCTTGGACGCGCGCTGGTGCTGCAACTGCCGCTGGCTGCCGCTCAATATGGCTCGACCGAGCGCGCACGCAGCTCGAGCTGAACTGTGGCATGCCACACGACTCGGCTGCATTTTTGTTGAGACTGGCCAGCCGAAGCTTTCTAAGCTCGCACTTCCAGCCTGGAAGTCCTCCGACTGAGAGCGCTTTCTTCTCAAAATTCGGCTTTATTTCATGTAAGTTTTACTTCTGATTTGCGGTTAAATGCTCTACTGCTTTTTATTTTTTTTTTTTTTTTTTTGTGGCTCACAGATGCTGGCTTTGTTTTTTTTTTCAGCGTTTCTATTTACTAAAACTTTTTTATCTTAGTTTATTTAGATTTCCCCTGATTCAGAAAAGTTTCGTCGTTTTCTTTTTAAGTTTTAAATACATGAACAAATTTCATCGTATAATTTTAGCATGCAAGATTTAAACAGAATTTTTATTATTGTCATTGTTACTTAAAAATTGTTTGTTTTTGTATTCATATTATTCATTTATAAATACAGAAAAATATTTATTTTATTTATTTTTGATAGCTATGCATGCATTAAATATCACTAAACGAGCAGAAATGAAATTTTTATATATTTTAAAAGATATATCTTAACTAAACTATTGGCAAACATTTCTGTTTTCCCCACTTTGTATATGCTGTCCTAATTTGCTGTTGCTAATATTGGATGATTGAAGCTTTTAACCGAAGTCCAAGATTATTTAAAATTCAAATTATTAAATGAAGGGATCCATAAAGTGTGTTGAGTTATCCTTTGAAGTCTCTTGCGTCTTCTGTTATATATTGTTGATTTTTGTAAGATATCACCATTATCTGACATCTGGGTTGCACGTATTTTATTTAAGTGAGATCTTGATACGATTCCGTAGACTTCTTTGGTTCTTCCTTACTACAATCACATATAGAATTATATTGATTATCATTTGGATTAGGCAGTTACAAAAAAACTATACTCTCCAGAGTTTGTTTATCTTAAATGTTTCATTCATTTATTTCCTCTAAATATAACAAAATCAAAACATATTAATTTTTGTTTGATAAAATCTTTTTAATTTTATTTAAACTTTCATTTTTTTGCTGGATTTTTTTTTTTTTTTCCTTTTTTGTTGGTTTCTTTATACAGATCTTAAGTTTAGGCTTAAATATAAACACTTATAGAATAAATAGTTTTGGAAGTCTGCGGCTTAAATTCTAGAGAAACGACTAAGTGAAAAAGTTGTATCGTTAGTATAGTCTTCGTTAGTTATATAGAGTATATATGGTTGTGTGCGCGGGCGGGATTATAGGTTATATGCGTTTTTTGGTACTGGAGTACAGGGTTGCTTAGGCTTATAGGTGGTGCAAGGCGGGTAAAGATGTGTGTTTGTGATAAATTCTGTCGCCTCCTGGAGTTCTCTTACAGCTCGGCAATACGGGCTTTCAGCTTGTCCAGCTCGGCGTAGATGCTAGCGGGCAAATCGGCGCCCACCTGCGACTCGAAGTAGTTGCGGATGTCCTCCACCTCCTGAGTCCAGAAGTCTTTGGGCAGCGAGAACAGTTGCTTCACATCGACCTGCTCCTTCATGCCGGCCAAGTTGAGCTCACCCTCAGCGGGTATGTGGCCAATGGCAGAGTCGACATAGCAGGATTCACCATTCACACGGCGCAGAACCCACTCGAGCACACGGGAGTTCTCGCCGTATCCGGGCCACATGAATTTGCCCTGATCGCTCTTGCGGAACCAGTTGACATGGAAGATCTTGGGCACCTTGCCACGCTTCTCCATGCTCAGCCAGTGGGCCACATAGTCGCCGAAGTTGTAGCCAAAGAAGGGACGCATCGCGAAGGGATCGTGCATGATCACCTTGCCCTTGTGCTCGGCCGCAGCAGTTGCCTCGCTGCGCATAGCGGCGCCAATGAAGACACCGTGGGTCCAGTCGCGAGCCTCGTAGATTAGGGGCACGCCAGCTGGGCGACGACCGCCGAAGAGCATCGCAGAGATGGGCACGCCAGCTGGATCCTCCCAGGCGCTGTCGATGATGGGGCACTGGGCTGCTGGTGTGCAGAAGCGAGAGTTGGGATGAGCGGCTGGCTTGCCCGACTCCTTGGTCCAGGGGTTGCCCAGCCAATCGGTGATCTGCACATTGGGTGCCAGGCTGCTCTCCATGCCCTCCCAGTAGACGCCGCCATCTGAGGTGGAGGCCACGTTGGTGAAGATGGTGTTCTTAAAGACCGTGCTCATGGCAATGGGATTCGTCTCCTTCGATGTGCCAGGGGCAACGCCGAAGAAGCCGTTCTCGGGATTTATGGCACGCAGCAGACCCTGCGAGTCGAACTTCATCCAGGCGATGTCATCGCCCACGCACTCCACCTTGTAGTTGGCTAGCGAGGGGTTCAACATGGCCAGATTGGTCTTTCCGCAAGCCGAGGGGAACGCGGCAGTGATGTACTTCTTGACGCCCTTGGGATCGGTGATGCCCAGGATCAGCATGTGCTCGGCCAGCCAGCCCTCCCGCTTGGCAATGGTGCTACCGATGCGCAGAGCAAAGCACTTCTTGCCCAGCAACGAGTTGCCTCCGTAGCCGGAGCCATAGGACACAATCAGGTTCTCAGCGGGCTTGTGCAGGATGATGGTGCGCTCTGGATCGCATGGCCAGGATGGCTGATCCACAATGCCGTTAGCTGGAGTGCCCACGGAGTGAAGGGCGCGCACGAACTCCTCCTTCTTGGCCAACTGCTGCAGCACAGCAGCGCCCATGCGGGTCATGATGCGCATGGAGGCGACGACATAGGCCGAGTCGGTGATCTCAATGCCAATCTTCGACAGAGGGGATCCCACTGGACCCATGCTGAAGGGCACCACATACATGGTGCGACCCTTCATGCATCCAGGGAAGCGCTGCTGAATGGCAGCCTCCATGTCAACAGGCGAAATCCAGTTGCCCAAAGTGCCCTTGACGCCATCCTTGGGCGTGGGAATTGTTTCCTCACGCTTCTCAGTGCAGATGAAAGTCTTGGACTCCACGCGGGCCACATCAGCCGGATTGGTGCGTGCCAGCCAGCAGTTCTCGTACTTGGGCAGCGCCACAATGGTGCCCGACTCCAGCAGCACCTTGATGAGCATCTTGTTCTCCTGCTCGGAGCCATCGCAAATATGCACCTGGTCGGGCTGGCACAGAGCAACTGCCTCCTCCACGAAGCTGCGCACACCGGCAGTCAAGGAGTTGACATCGCCATACGAGGTGGGAATGCCACGAATGTGGCTGTACAGGCCGCAGTTGTCCTGGCGGAGCTTGTTCAGCTGAGGCAGAGCACAGCCGTTGGCGGCACTGAAAAGAGGAGAGAAGAGAATTTATAAGTTAAAGTTCAGTTAAAGAGAGACTGGGTAAGTTTATGAAATGTGGAGAGGCTATGCAGAGAGTAGCAGAATATATATGTATCTTTATTTTGTATATCTATACATATACGAATATGTATATATATGTAGAAATGTTTTAATTGGAAAACATTTTAAAATCAACATTTCATGTATGAATAATTTTACGAATACTTTTTTTTAGTTTTATTAAAATTTGTTTAGCAAAATATTAAAATAAATTTTCAAAGTCACGTTCTATATTCGCAAAGGATTTATTTATGCAAAAAAATTATTTGAGACTAAATAATTTGGAAACTATTTTCGCACAATTTTTTTTAAATTTATTTTGAGAAAACGCACTAATTTTGTTTCTTTTTTTTTCATTTCAAAAGACATTATGGGGCATGCAGCATGCTAGAGGTTTCTGGGTGTGGTGATGCATATGCTCGCTTTTCATTACTTGTTCGTTGTTGTTGGGGAAACAACTCGTACTTACATAATTTTGCTTTGTTCAATGAGCTCAGGCATGTTGTAAGTTTTTTGTTTGTTTTTTTGTAAAAATTAATATTCTTTAAAAGACTTTGGAATATGGCGCACTAATTAACGGTTCGATTTATTTGCTTTTATTTTGGGTAAAAAAATTTAAGTATCACAATTTGAATTATCACAATTTCAACTTTTTGTTGCTTTTGTTGGTTTATTGGGCTTTAGCTGATGCGCTCTTGTAGTTTCATATGTTTTTCCAGAGTTTTTTGTCAAATATGAATTTGATTTTCAGATCACTGAAATTGAATGTTTCACTTGATCTTTCCATTTACTCAGTCCACGAGTAACTGATGCCAGCTGCTTGCTGCAGTCGGCCTTTTATACGCTGCGCTGCCTGCCGGGCGACTGCCCGATGCGACTAGAACATGATTAACGGGGGCCGCACGATCGGCTGCCATTCGGCTTCGGCTGCCATTCGGGCTCGGCTCGCTTGTATTTGTTTCTATCTTTTTCTGAGTAGCGCGCGCGCCTCAGGTCAAACTTCGGGCCAGCTGATTGGCTGTTGGGTCGGAGGCTCGGCAATTGTTTTGGTTTTTCACTGAGCTTCTGGGTGAGCGAGGAGAGTGAGCGAAAGGGGTGGGCTGCTGGTGCCGCTTGACAACAAGCCATGTTGTTAATGCCGCTGTAGCAAGTTACAGTTTATTTTTGTTTCTCATTTATTTTGGCTGTTTTTGTTTTCTTTTTTTCGTCGACTCGCCGCTCTTGGAGTCGCTTTTGCTGTTGTTTTGATAGCGCGCCTATTCGCGGTTGATAAGAATCATTTAGCGCTATTTACGTTCCACTCAGCGTCATTTGGTTTTTCGCTCTGTCAGCTGCTGCTAATTTAATTACTTTGTTTATTTATGCTTTCCACTCCATATCGTTCCAGTGCGTAAATAGCCCAGTTATTATATGTTGTCAAATACGTATCAATAAGTTCTTCCTACGTACAATTATCGTAACATGAGCTGCCTGTTGGTCTATGCTTCCCCCATCGAAAATACACAGATCTCAGGCTGAGTAATATAATTATTTGTATATTTTGATTCATATTATTCATATAAATATAGGAATGTATAAAATATACATATGTAATCTCCATACAAAATCTTATTATTAATAATTCAATTCCTGTTAATAGTTAGTTCACGTGTGTCAATAATTTTCATCATTAAGTAAAGATGTTTTATTCAATCCAGAGATATGAGCCAGCTACTGTGGTATCTAATTAACAATAATGGTTTACATATGATAAGATGAATGCTCCTTATGATCTATAAATAACTACACATATATGTAAGTATATATATCTATAATATCTATAGTGTTAGTATTTAAAAATACATATACCCTCTGCCTATATCGGAACATTGTACAGATGGCTTATTATCTGCAGTCAATGATATGACATTTAAGATAATGATCAACCCAAGTACACCCCAATTATCTACTTATATTTGCCTTATCAAAATTCAAGTTCACAGTCAATGTTATAAGAGTCCATACGAATTCTATATATAATATTTATACTAAGGGAACTCTTTTTCTTACACATAGAAACGGATTCATGTTCCACCCACTCTCACCGATACCTTTTAGCTTTTCCCTTTCAAAATTGATACAGCTAATTTGTCGAATATAAGCCTATGGTAGTAATTCCTCCACTCCAAGCTAAGGCTGATACACACGCGCCCACCTACGCCTTCTGTCACGACACAGAATCACATGGCCTTTTCGATCTGTTGTCACATTGCCAGAATACATATAAATATACATATATATATATATACATATATATAATATGTTTTGTTTGGCCACTTTCGCTTATTGGCGAAAATGGTGACGGGGAAGATGATTCGATGATCTAGCAAAATTCTACGCTGTTCTATTATAATGTTGGCCATGGCCATCAGCCAACCGACATGGAGGCCATGAATGGACATAGTGAATTTCACATGACATGACGCGAATAGCCGCATGGAATCATCATGTGCTCTTCGAAGGAGAAATGAAGGTTCTCACCAATTTTGTTGGGTACGAGTTATCTCTGTACCCACAAGTAAATGGCATTTTGATCGGGTAGTTCACCTTAAAACGAGCAGCTCGTAACCTTGAAATCCTTGAAAAGTTCCGTTGAAGATTATTTATCAGCCAACCTCCACGCGCCTTTTTAATGGCAAATGAAAGAGCATAAAAAAATATTCAACACAAATTTGCGGAATGCTCTTTTTGGCGTATTTATTTTTAAACCGTGGACTTGTTTTTCTAGTTGAGCTTGATAAGCAGCATCATCATCATCACAATCATCATCAAGTGTCTGCCTGTGCTACCCCGCCTGCCTGCCAGCCTCCTCCTCAGCTCCCCACTTCCTCAGTCCCTATGCCCCTTGTCTTGGCCCCGCGCCGTGCAAAGATCGCCCAGCTGTATTACTAAAGCGCGTTTGATGACTTGACTTAATTTTTGAATTTACGTCAATGAGTTGGCGGATCAATAAGCAATAATGAAAATCAATACACATATAGCGAAATATATATTGTAACGGGCCTTATCAGCTTGCACAAACGAGCCCCTGCAGCCTCGATGCAATGGAAAATATTTTGTTCTAAATATAGGCTTAAGATCTGTTTTTAACTGTAATCCGGATCTAGAAATTGTTGTAATAGCTGACGAAAGAAATTCGGATGTTACTGCAGCAGGCTCTAGGCTTCACTATGTTAGCTAATGTGATAGACTAGGAATTCCCACAGACCTTAGACCTTATAAGCTCTAACAATGTCAAATTCCATAAGGAAAGTCAGCCAAATTTTGATTAGATTATGTGATATAACACATATATATATACTTTATATTCATAATTGCGGCAATAGATGTTATCAAGTATATCAAGTCTAAAAATAAATATCTTAGTATAGTCAAAGGTCCATGTTAGATGTTATCATTAAGTCAAAAAATAAATATCATAATATGGGCAAAGGTCCACATGGGAAAGCATATTTAAATTTGCGTTAAACCTCTGTACTGTACTGTAGTTGAATAAATCAATATATTTACCGATTTTACTTGTCCTTCGATTTATTTGATTGGGATCTAACAAGGCTAAGCTCTTTACTTACTGTGTTGAAAACAAGAATTTTCAGCCAAGTACAATTTTGATATATACATATACTTATTTGTATCTATATTTACATATACATACATATATCGGCTGTTAGTCGTTATTGATAATTGTTTATGATCATCTAACCGGATCTAACGGAACCCCTTTTTCGGGCACACTCAATGCGTTATCAGTGCCGTGTGCCGTGTGCCGTGTGCCGTGTGCCGTGAGGCTTGTTTCTTCTCTAATTGGCTGCATGTCGAATCACACCACCCCATGACCAGGTCTTTAATCAGACCTTAACAACTGCGTGGCACGTTTTTGGGCTCCAAGTTTTTGGTCTTTTTTCATAATATTCCATAATATTTGCTCGTTTTTTTCCAGCGATCTTGATAATTCGCAGTGGTGCAGAGAGGTTAACACGATTATGAATTTATATGCTTGTTTACGCCAATTTCGTGGACGGGCCTCTCCCACTTTCTCGCGCTGCCATCTCTCATTTTGCGTGACCGAAATGCCACGCCCATGCCTAGGCCCATGGAATGCGATACAAAAAAATCTTGTTTGCTGGTTTTTATGAGAGTTTATTAAACTAAGATTAGGAATAACCTATGAAACCGCACAGAATGGAGCGATTATTCACATCACATGTTGGCCACACGCTTCTTCAGTTCTGTCAGCTGGTCTGCGACGGGGCGTGGCAAATAGTCGCCCACCTGGTCCTGGAAGTACTGCTCGATCTCTTTGGCCTCCTGCTGCCAAAAGTCTTTGGGCAGATCGAACAGCTGCTTCAGATCCACATTGCCCTCCACGCCCTCAACATTCAGTGCACCCTGACTAGGGAGCAGTCCGATTGGCGACTCCTCGTAGCATTTCTCGCCTTCCACACGCCGGAAGATCCAGTCCAGCACTCGGGAATTGTCACCAAATCCTGGCCACAAGAATTTGCCCTCATCGCTCTTGCGGAACCAGTTCACGTGGAAGATCTTTGGCACCTTTCCGCGCTGCTCCATGCTTAGCCAGTGGGCGAGATAGTCGCCGAAGTTGTAGCCAAAGAAGGGGCGCATCGCGAAGGGATCGTGCATGATCACCTTGGCCTTGTGCTCGGCCGCAGCAGTTGCCTCGCTACGCATGGCAGCCCCAATAAAGACGCCATGTGCCCAGTCGCGCGCCTCGTAGACCAAGGGAACGCCAGCGGGTCGGCGACCGCCGAACAAAATCGCTGAGATGGGAACTCCTGCGCTGTCCTCCCAGGCGGGATCAATGATTGGGCACTGAGCCGCAGGCGTGCAGAAGCGAGAGTTGGGATGGGCAGCCGGCTTGCCCGACTCAGCCGACCAGAGCTTGCCCAGCCAGTCGGTGACCGTGACATTGCCCAGCTGAGAGGCGTCCATGCCCTCCCAGTAGACGCCGCCATCCGACGTGGAGGCCACGTTGGTGAAGACCGTGTTGCGGAAGATGGTGTCCATGGCAATGGGATTGGTGGCACGCGAGGTGCCAGGGGCCACGCCGAAGAAGCCGTTCTCGGGATTGATGGCACGCAGCACACCCTGCGAGTCGAACTTCATCCAGGCGATGTCATCGCCCACGCACTCCACCTTGTAGCCCGGCAGAGTGGGCGTCATCATGGCCAGATTGGTCTTGCCGCAAGCTGAAGGGAAAGCGGCTGCCACATAGATCTTCTTGCCCTGCAGATTGGTGATGCCCAGAATCAGCATGTGCTCGGCCAGCCAGCCCTCCCGCTTGGCAATGGTGCTGCCGATGCGCAGAGCAAAGCACTTCTTGCCCAGCAACGAGTTGCCTCCATAGCCGGAGCCATAGGAAACGATCTCGTTCTCGGCTGGCTTATGGAGGATGATGGTGCGCTCTGGGTCACATGGCCACGAGGCCTGGGCCTGCACGCCACTGGCTGGAGTGCCAACTGAGTGAAGGCACTTGACGAACTGGCCGTCGCCCTGCTGCAGCACGTCCAGCACTGGAGTGCCTGCACGCGTCATAATCTTCATAGACTCTACCACGTAGGGAGAGTCAGTGATCTCAATGCCTATTTTGGAGAGAGGCGAGCCCACGGGACCCATGCTAAAGGGTATGACGTACATGGTGCGACCTTTCATGCTGCCCGGGAAACGCTCGGCAATAGCCGCCTTCAGATCCGCATCGGAGATCCAATTGCCAAGGGTTCCGGGCGTGGCGTTTGGCGTAACTGGCACCGTCTCCTCCTTGCGCTCCGTGCTGATGAACGTCTTGGACTCCACGCGAGCCACATCGGCTGGGTTAGTGCGTGCCAGCCAGCAGTTCGTGTACTTGGGCAGTGGCAGGATTGTGCCCTGCTTCAGCATCAATCCTTGGAGCAGCTTGCTCTCCGCGGCGGTGCCATCGCAGATGTGCACTCGGTCCGGTTGGCACAGATTCACGCACTTGTCCACATACTCCCGGACAGCGGGCGTCAGTGTCTTCACGTCGCCATATTGCACGGACAGCGAACGGCAGACGAGCCGAAAATTGTAGCACTTGGGCGGAGAGGCCAATCTGGAAAGAAAAATTGATATCTCCGATAAGTAGGGTACTGTGAGCTACCTGTTCAGGTATATGTTGAAATCCTAACACAGCTGCTTTTAGGGTTTACCACTTTTACCTGGCCGCAGCCCGCTTTATCTGCATGTTTTGTGCACAACTGTACCTCAATTAGTATTCTAAGTATGTTGGAAAAAAAGAGTTGAGTTGCCGTCACCCGTCGCATTTGTCCCACACACAATTGTAAAACAAAAACTGGCTAATCAGCTGTTGGCTGGTTGTGCAGGTTTCTGACAATACCCCATAAAGCAGCTGCTCTAAATGGGTATATTTCTCAGTGGAGGCAGGCTGACAGAGACTAACAGCATTTGCCCTTTGGCTCTAGGCCTTTTCTTATGCCCAGCTAAAACTGATCTCTGGATATATTAGGTATTTATAATTTATTATTTATTTATTAGCTACTTTCTTACAATTGCAGAGTATCTAATAGTTGTTCAATATTTTGTTGTTAATTGTTTCTGTTTGCTGCTTGTGAATTCATGAAAAACTTGCTTCGGCTTTTGCACAGCACGTTTGGTTTGGGGAATCCGAAGCAGCAGCCACAGCGAGACAGAGAGACAACCTTCAATTGTCAGCGACAACATAGCCGAGAGAAAGAAAGAGAGGGGGCGAATCCGAGAGAAAGAGAGAGAGAGTAATGTGAAGGCGTCATGACTGCCTCACTTTCGTTTCGCTGAACCGGCCGAACGCAATTGTATGATGCAATATTTCATCAGCCAACAGCTGGTTCGGCAGCTAATGTTGTGTTCTCTGTTATGGTTGTCCTAAGAGATAATCTCTCTCTCTCTCTCGCTCTCTCTCTCTCTTTCTCACTGTCTCACTGGCTGTCTCTGATCACAGCTGTGTGTTGACCCTGGCTATAACTGTTACAGAATGCCAAACATGGCCAACATTTCGCATCTCAGTTTATCAAAGCAGACGCCCTTCAGAGCTTGCTGTCTATAATCTCATCGTCAATATCAATTTATCGGCATTGTTTATCACATAAATCAGCTCGCAAAGCATTTATCTGGGGCACAATCGTGTAGTTCTAGTTACATTGTCCGCTGGGTCCAAAGTCCATTGACTGTTCACGCCATAGTTCTTTGTCGTTCAGTGACGTCACACATTTATGTAATCTAATTTTGTTTCGGTCAGACGACGAATTTTTTTCGGAAACTGCGCATTTTCTAGTGGCGCGTTTAGCTACTCAAATACTCTTTGCATATGCACATACTTACACACATACATATGTATATAGATAATACATATGTACATATATATACAAAATACTATATGCTTGTGCTTGTGCGTGGTCTGTATGGCAGATTGTCAGTGCCCCGGTTCGAGTTATTAACACACATTAACTATACTACATACATACAAGCATATATATATATATATATATATATATATATATATATATATATATATATATATATGTATATGCGCACAGCTTGGCACATGATAAAATATACTCCATGCAGCACCCGAAATGTCATCAAACTAATTTGCAGACAAATGAAATAATGCTCTCTAAGCGTAGATTAAATGAAAAGTGTAATCATACGAAAGTTATTACATAAAGTGCAGCATTCGCCTGGGGCTTCTCATTGTGTGCAGTGGACCAGAAGGAGACGTTGACTAAGACAGCTTACCTAATGACAACTGCTTAAATAGCATTTAGTATGTTTTGTTTTAGATTCATTTTTTATTATTATGTATAAACTATATACTATATATTTATATGTATTTTTTTTATTTTATTTTTATAAATATCTGCGATCATTAGCAAAGGCACTGTGAAAGAAACATGAATGTTCAATAAATAAATACAGAAGTGTTGTGTATGTTGGTTAACTGTATTGCGAGGTGTCATATAATATATATATCAGCTGTTGATTGCCATTAATAAAGATTAAATTATTCGCTTCTTTTTTTTTTTCATATGTATAGAAAATATAATATTTTGTGTGTGTCTGCTGCTCGGAACAATGATTTATAAAATTTTATATTTTTATCAACAAATTATATATCGATCGCTTCTATAAAATATTAAAAAATGCATTTTGGGGTATAAAACAGAAGATATGACAATATACTAAACATAGTATAGTACCATATACTTTTGTATAAAACGTAGTTTTTGTTACTTAATTCGCACACCTCTTATGTCTTCCATGTTAAATGCCTATACTAATTCCCATTTTGATAAATTTCTCCAATTTCTATATTATTTTCTATATATAATAAGTATTTTTCGATCGATAAATTGTGCGCATTCTCTCAAACTAACCTTTCTTCATTTGCGTCGAATCGAATCACGAAGCGCTAATTAATTTGCCTGCTAATTCAAAGCGAATGAATATTTAATAAATGTTTGTGTTGTTTTATCAAATTGACAGCATTTATGGAGATACGCGGGAAGCTCTATTGTTTATCTTTTTCAAGTTTTGCCAACTTCTTGAGCTGGCATTTGCAGTCCGCAAAGCGAAACCCGAACCCCGCCCAGATCAAATATTTACTATAATTTGCGCTGCTACCGTTTTGCTGGACTCGCTTTTAATACGACTCTTAAATTTATTTATTTTGCGTATTTATTTTTTTTATTTATGTCATTTTTATGTGCCATGAGCTCGCTAATGATAAGAACTGACCATAGTTAAATAGGAAAGACCTCTCGCTGGCCGACTCTCATTATCAGCTGTGACGCTTCCAGCAATTATTCGGTGCAGACGACTCGACAATATTTGATGGCAGCCACGCGCACAGAGCAAGCGAAGAGTTCAATTTCAGCTGATTAGAAGAGCACAAGATAGCACATGTGAAACGTAATAGGTATTGGACATGGGAATGGGAATGGGAACAGGATTGGGGATTGGAGTGGGAATTCGAAATGGGATCAGCATTATTTAGCTTGGCACGCTCTGCAGTGCGTTTGTTCTCTTGGCATTTTGCAAATGGCAATGCGTTTTAATGCTACGAGGCAGGTCTAATTATTAGGATAAAGACAATAGATGTGCTCAAGAATACCCTACAACTACCCAGTAGCTGTGAAATCTATCATAATCATTCTTTCTCTTAATTGTAAGAGATATTCAAATAATTATGAAAAGTGCAGACCTTAAGATACCCTTTCCTTGTAGACCTTAAATGTGAATACAAATGTTTTTTCTTATGGATCCAACGTGATATACAATACAACATACCCTGAAATTCCTGTAATCCCTGTAAATTCCTATACACAAAGACCTTTTGTGAAGCATTGATGGAGCTACTTTATTTACACAATCTTTTCAGATTTGTTTTTGTTGACTATACTCTGAATTCTCATTTTAGCAAAAACAAAGAGGAAGACACAAAATGTATATAGACTAGGGAATACCCTAGTTTTGTTCAAATTGATTACAAGAGAATTACCTTTTTGCATGCCCGAATCGAAAATATTACTTTTAGTATAGGGTATATTCGCCTCTGAAGCCCATTTTGTGGGCATGCCGCAACGCATGCCGGCAGCTGCTCTTTGGCACATTTTATTTTCGTGTAGCATATTTATTTTTATTTTTATTGAGTTTTTTTTACTCGTTGCGAAAAGGAATACGCAGAAAATTAACAAGCGCGTGTTTTTCTACTTATATGTATATATACATACTTATACACATATATATTTATTTATATATATGGAAAATTTATAGCGACAACTATATGTAGTTGGGTGTGCTTGGGTGTATATACATTTAGACGTGGCACTTTTATTTTTGGATACGTGGCAACAGTAAATGAAAATCGAACTTTCAGCTGATTTCCACGGCTAATTTTCTCATCAATTTCTTCGTTAAATGGCTCTGAACAAGTTCATCATCCAAGTCATTTAGCCATGGCCTTAGTTTCAGCGCCAGACAGAGCACAGTTACACAGACTCTTAAGGGCACACTAGCCACACAAACACACACACACTTACATTGGTATTGGACGCCCCTTTTCACTCTTATCAGCTGGCCATCAGAGCAAGCACTCTAAATCAAACCAGTTCGCCCAGCTCCGGTTTGAACCAGTTGCCACCAATACCAATGTAAAGAACAAAAAATTGAGAAAATTAATATTAAAATTGATGACGACGCATGGCTAAAAAAGTTAAAAGTCGAAAAAATATTTGTTAATTTTATTATTATTACTATTATTATTTTGTTTTGTTACAATATAAAATATCTATAGAAATGGAATGTGCCAAATTGTTTATAGTTTATAAAAAAAATCGCTCAGCTGTTGGGCAATTATAGTTATAATCGTCATAACATATTACCATATAATACAATAATCAGTAATTGAACTATGACGTTAGAGAAAATTAATAGCAGGACGTATTCAAGGGGAAAATTCTATCTGGGCATAAACATTAGTATATATGTACATATAAAATATATTTGGCTTTTATTTTTGTTTTATTTTCTGGGAACTTCTCTATATGTGCCCTATATAAAGGAATCAGCGATGAACTGGTTTTATAGCTAGGAATTTGAGTCGCAAATGCTATGAAAGGTTTTTCCATAGACGACTTGACGTCACATACTGTTAATCTGTATGTATACATATGTATATACTATTAATCTATATACATATGTGCATAAAAACAGGAAAACTTTGAAATTTAATTATATTTCACTAATTAGAAGTCAACTAAAATCCGGGTTCGAAATTCATTGCCGTGAGTCTGTATAGTATTTAAAAAAAATATAATAATCGTAATATACTATAGTTGCTTGATGCTAAGTTTCCCTAGACAACCATCAGCAATATTTTCTTCGAAAAATGATTCAAAATTATATATTTAAAAATATTTTCTGTGGAAATGAAAAGGCTTTTGGAGAAATTTACAAATATTCTGAGAGAAATTAATTAATTCGACAATAGTTTAATATAAATATAAATGTATACATAAAAATAATAAATACCTATTTATTGTACATTACATTTTTTTCTGAACCTGTGTGCGTAGTCCTATGTACTCAACTTTCGTAGTCTGTCTATACATCAATAGACATTAATGTGGTATACCAGATACCAAAATATTGGTCATTAAGATATTTACTAAAATATTTATAATCAATTATTATATTTTAGAAACAGCACATTTAGGAATTGTCATACTTTTAAATAAGATCAAGATCAATCAGAATAGATTATACTCTTTAGATTATACTTTAAAATGTCCAGTGAAAACTAGTTTAGAATAATTATTTTTTAGTTGGTGCTGAGCAAGATAGCATTATACGATTATTTATGAAGTACTTCTCTCAAAATAAAACATACAAGCTTTGGTAAATTCGCTGTTTATACGATAATTATACGTACTCTCAGTACAATCTAGAATTTTTACTGCATTAAATATGTGCTGATAGTCTATAAGTAGTATAACATATATTGTTCACACAAATAACTCCAATAAGCTCCAATAATGTTGTCTGAGACGAGACCACTCAACAAAATATGCCACTAGCTCAGTGCCAAGGTCGGCAGTGTTGTTGAATGTGGTTCCACAAGAACTAAGTTCCAACTAATAATACTAATACGTTAGTTCGTTTTAGAGAACTCAAAAAGTGTTTTTCGTAATGCTTTATTTAATTTAATTTAATGAGGCTTTATGGCATATCAAAGTCCAAGCGACAACTAGAAACATCGACTCGATATGTGAGAGTGTGTGTGTTTGCCAGCTGATAAGCGAGAACTTCTACATAATGTAGGCGTATATAAGTTGTCTGTCTGCGTAGATTATAGAGCATTTCATTTATATACATGTGTGTATATATGTAAGTGACGTGGAAGGTAATATGCGTATATACATACATATACCAACGACCCAAGCTATGTCTATGCAGGCGCACTTGGATACAGTGGGTGCAAAGTCTCGTTCTGAGACGCAGTTAAGCAACTGAGTGAAAGGAATAGAGAGAGAATGGAGACAAGACTATTGAAGGATAGCCAGTAAAATTATCAGACGAATTTAAATTTATCATGAACATAAAGTTTAACTCTCTGAATATACATTAATGGAAGAGTTGCAATGAAATATAATAAATTCAAATACTCTTCCTCTGTCTTAATATTTATCCAGAGAAGAAAACTAGATTGAAAGACAGACACCAGCTTAAGTTGGCCTTTTACCAAATGTAAATTGCAGTTCTTTAATTTTTTTTTTTTTTTTTAAGCTCACATTTCTCGCAGTGCATATAAAATATATTTCACGTCATCGAAAATACCATCGATGGGGAATATAAAACATGTGTTTACTCGAAACTATCGAAATTAAGCATATATACGACCATTAGCTATCTAATCTTATCAGCAATGAGGAATTCTTTGAAACCGAATCGAAATTCGAAATTTGTGTGATAATTATTGCGAGTGTAGTAAACAAACAATTAACTGATAAGCTTTAAACAATACGGTATAAACGTAATTAGCAGGTGAAATTTTCATTAGTAATTTTGCTGCGCCTCAAATTGGTTTTATTGAGTAATCGAAATTCGAGACTTTTCCAATTAACTGGAAAATATTATTCATTTACACACATGCCATTCAAATATTATTGTTATTCATTCAATTGCCTGGGAAGCAAAAAATATTATTGTATTATTCGAATATTGTGTTTTTTGTTTGTCGTATTTCTATTTCTGTTCCGTTGCGTTCGATTGGGGGGCTCGCCTAGCGAACTAAATGCCAATGCGAGACGTCAATAAAAACAATCTTATTGTTGTCATGGGTTGTTCGGGCTGTCTGAGGTTATCATTCAGAGAACTCAGACACAGAGAGAGAAAGAGAGAGAGACAGACAGTTGCTGCTGATGTTGTCTGTTGTCTGTCTGTGGATTGCACAAGCACAACAATGTCTGCCACGCTGTGTATCTGACAGATATATAACTGTTGCTCTTGGAAAATAGGTAGACGCCGAGAGGAAACCCATGCAAGTCAAGTGCAAAAATTAACGAGGGCCGTTGTCAAAGCTGATTGACTTGGAAGTACCCTGTAGTTGTACAGTTGGCTGTAGACACTTTTCCATATACATATTTAAACATTGATTGTATTCATTTGATATTATAAAAGGCAGGGGCACAAAGAGATAAACAGCGAGGAAAACAAACTTTAATCAAGTTGCATCTCGATGCTGAGAAAAAATACATTTATAGTAAGTTGGTCCTTACTCTTATCATACTCGCACTTTCTTTATATTGCTAGGGTATACGAAATGGTCAGCGTGTGACACGTTGTTGACCGATCCAAAACACGCCACATACCAAAAAAGCGGCTATCAAAACAAAAGCCAACAGCAAGCCAAACAAGTCTGCTAAAAGCCAAAGAGTTTTTTCTTACTTTATTTTTTTTTTTTTCTTCTTATTCTTAATTCTCCTCTTTTTCATGTTGGCTTTTCTGATTTCCAGAGTCCGGCGCTGTTGCTAAGTGCCCCAAAAGCAACAGCAAAGATAGCACACCAATGCAAACCGCAGTTTGTGTTTATTTACGCACGCACACACACGCGCATACGCAATGCATATACACAGGCTGACAAATCAGCCAGCGAGTGGGTGGGGGAAGGCAGCTAAACTTGTCGGTCAACTGCAGCGGCGCTCTTCGCGCACAGATCGTGCTCGCCTGCTCCCACACACACAGATGGCCCCGATAGCAGCGCAAAAAAAACTGGAGCCAAAACAAAAACACAAAAACAGTGCGCAGTGTCGTTCGGAATACGGCGAGGGACGTGCAGCGACGTCAACTGAAAGGTAACAAAGAAACAAGGCACAAAGCAAAACAAAGAAACAGCTCGACGAAGCGAAAGCTTTTATGCCCACGAAAGTATGCAATGTAAATTTGATCTGAATGAAAGCATACAAAGTGAGGCATTCTATGATCCGCCGAAAAGTATGCTACACCTGTTGTACAGATTGATTTCGGCCGACATTAATTACCATAGAGAGATAAGGTTATTCGCTCAAGTGGAAAGTTACGGCACAAATCTTGATAGCACACTGCTAAGTGGACTGAATGTTATGAGAATATTATGAAAGTTCAGTTAGGATTGCTTAGGTCGTGCTGAAAGAGGCAACTAAGAAATTAGAAATAACATCAATTCTATTTGGATTGTCTGAAAGAGTCAAGGCCAAAATCAAGGTGAACACCTTTCAAAGACAAGATAAGGGTTCACTTATTGTCTAAATTTAATACGAATTGTGAAATTAATTAATGAGAAGAGGTTGAATCAAAAAAAATATAAAATCTCCATCTTATGAAATTGTTTTTTTTTCTTTTTCTAAGAATTTAATAGCTAAATTTTAAAGACATTAGTATATAAAAATATAAAAATGATTAATTTATTAGTTTAGGGGAAAAGATATTTAAGAAATTTGTGTTCTGTTTAAGTTATGCCTGTCTCTACCAAAAGAAAAATGTCTCCATACTTTCTCTAAATTTCCCACAATACCACATCAATATTAATTGTTTATATATAGATTAGGAATGCATGGAATCCTAAAACTATTGTATATATCTACACAACATTTGAACGCCGACTCAGAGCTAAGTATAGTTTTGAAAGCATTTTCTATTTCGCTGCTCTCTTATAATTATTGTCTTAACGCCTTAAATAGGTTTTCATAAATATATGTACTCTTATTTATATTTAATATACTAAGAAACCCATTCAAAGAATACATAAAATGTTCGCATAGGTTTTGCTTAAGCAACCGCAATGTGGAAATCTTAAAAGTGTTGCCTTCTTTCGAGGGCCCTAGAAAAACCTCAACTAACGCGGACAAATTCATTGATAAAACTTGATTGAGAAAGGGTGAATGGGTCGACAAGGGGGGTTGACAGCGCGCGTGAAAAATTGTTTATAAACAAACTACATGTGTGTAAAGTGTGTGTAAAATAGAGAATAAAAAAGAGGTAGAGAGAGAAACGAATAGCGGGAGAGAGTGCAAATAGTAAGAACTATTGTATATTGTAATATAGCCTAAAATTGAGGTAGGTTATTTGTTGCTTACGTGAGAAAACGTACAGGTAAGTTAAGTAGGCTGGCCAATGACAGAGGCTACCTGGAGGGTACCGTTAACCACCACACGACACTGACCCGCTTAAAGCTCTATTTAGCAATATTTCTAACTGGTTTTTGATATGGAAACTCTTGAGACTCACCCGCCGCGCAGCAGTTGTACGCCTTTGAGCAGCATTTTCACTTATTGTGGTTTTCCCTTATTCCTTGTCGCCTTTCACTTTTTGCACGTTTCCTTGCTTTCTTTCGCTCAGCTGTTGCGGCTGCCAATTGAATTGCGTTTAATGAATTTATTTCGTTGTTTAATTTGATCAATTTGCGAATGCCTTAATGCGAATTTATATTTAAATAAAACTGCAGCAGAGCTAATTGAAGAGACGTGGCGGGCTTTTAGCTCTGGCAATTTTTCTTAGCTCCCTTCGCTCTCTCACTCTCTCTCTCTCTCCCTTTCTCGGTCTCGCTCTACGCGTGGCACTTGTTGCGCTTCAACAACTGTTGCTGTTGCTGTTGCTGCTGCTGCTACTGCTACTGCTGCTGCTGCTGCCGGGGCACTTGTTGCTGCCTTCACACAACAATCGAAACTGAAACTCTACGTCAGCCCGCGCGCTTAAGTAACAGATGTACTACACATTATTCAGAGTATTTGTACATACATTTTAGTCGACCGTTCCTCTGTGTCTGTGTGATTGAGTTTATTTCGCTCTTTCTCTCTCTCTCTCTCCTTCTCTGAGTATTTTTTATGCAGCCCCCGCTGGCTGATAAGATAAGCGGCATGCCCACATCGCCTACCGATTGTCATGTACGTGCCACCCACCGCATGCACCAGGCGACGCGCCTCCTCCTCCAAATTACTGCAACCTGCTCAGTTAAGCTCAGCTGTTGCCACACATTCACAGACACAGCCAAACACACACGGATAGCCAAACTCTCTTGCCCCTGTGCCAAATTTAAATGTTTCCTTATCGATGTATGTGGCCTGTAGCCTAAGAGGCAGCTGCCCCGCTTACATCATTCATCAGCCGACCAGAGCCAACAGCCGCAGCCAGAGCAGCTTATCTTTTATTTGTGGCTCTGATTTTGCATACCCAGCAAAATTAGACAAAGAGAGGGTATGTTTCTGTAGCTGCTTGTGAAGGAACTCCCAGTGATACGATGTGCGCTGAAAAAGTTATTATACAATATCTATGAAAGGATATCTCTATCTCTTTGTAAACTAATTGCCACCTACACGATTTATCTAAGTACTAAGAAAGCGACTTACAAAGGGCATGTAAATTCGCCATAAACAAAACTAAAAATTTCCTACCCTATAAGGTTTCCAAAAAATCATATTGGTCTCTCTTTGTTAAAGCAGTTATTTTTACACCGGTTTGTACTGGAATCGTTTACTATTTCTCAACATTAATAAAAATATAGAGTATCTGTTGATCGTTAACTAAAATAATTAATTGACATTAATTGGCGATATTCTATTTTATATTGTTGAATATTAAAAATGTTTATTTTCTTGTTTGCAGAAGTAAGACAGCATAACAATATACCCTATAATTGTCAGGTTTAAGGTATTTAAAATACCATTGAAACTCAGGGTTAACTTTTGTATGATCAGCTAGTTATAATTTTCATTAATATATTTTTTAAAATTATATTTATAATTTATGTATATTTATATGTCTTTAATGCTGACAAGTTGTAAAAAATAAGTAATACAAAAGTTACTACTCTTTTCGCTCTCTGTAAAACTGATTTATTAAAAAAGATAGTACCCACATTTAAGCACAGGGCATTGGCTAGTCACTTAACATATATATGTATTTGTCTTGTGTCGGCATACGCCCAGCTTATCATTTGATCAGTATCGACACGTTTATTATTGTTATTCTCGCTTGCATTCTTCAGTTGCCCCAATGTCACATTTAATGGTGTTTTTAATCAGAATTTGTACCATGAGAGCTGCCTCCATTGGCTGAACTATGGTCACACAAGCTGCACTTGTATAATGAGCACGGAAGGTGAGAGAGGCAGTCAGTTTGAGTCAAAAAGAGAAAGAGAAGAGAATGTAGATTGCTCATGCCTTATCAAATGCTGATTTTGCAGCACTGCGAAAAAAAAACTCAGCCAAAACGAAACTTGAACCCTGCCGATAAGCCTAATCTGCACATGAGAGTTTCTTCCAGCTTTTGGCTTGTGAGAATTACAAATAAAAAATTATAAAAAAAAAATAAATAAAAAAAATATTGCAGCGAACGGAGAGTAAGATGTCCATAAAAGACATTATGAAGACCCAGTAGAACGCTTTCAAATTGTATAATGTTTGTGTACAAAACATATCAGAATTACTGAAGGATGGAACTGAACTTTTCTGTTGTAATATATAATTAAAAAAATAACAATAATAATGATAATAATACCCTCCATATTCTGTAACATTTCAACGATGATTGAAAAATAATTCAAAGTCTTGTTGGTTTTTGCTCTTGTTCTTGAACTTAACGCACTATTTATTTATATATCTTTATTTAATCATAATTACCTGCGTATATCATAATAATGTTTCACATAAGTAATTTCACTTTACGTTTTAAATACAATCAAATTTACACGAGTCCATGTTCATTGCATACATACATATACACATATGCATACATATATGTAATATGCACGTATAAATATATGGTTTAGTTCCCTTAAGCACTACGACAATAATTAATATACAATATATGTATATATATAATATATTTTTAGTATGTTTGAGTTAAGAATTAATTGTGAAATAACTATACAATAAGATATTGGTAACTATTTGGTTTCGGTTAACGGTTTGCGAGGATATGATCTGATGGCTCTTAACTGTTTCATTATAATTTGTATTTCGTGTTCCATATATTTCCTTTTTTTGCTGTGGAGCGTTATACATTTATAACACTTATGAGTACCTTATCTGTAAATCATTAAATTTGGATTTATCTGGGCTCTAAGTATGTCAACAGATTTTATATATTAAGCTATATATATCTAAATATATTTAGATATATATAAGCTCTTCTTTAACTCAGCTGCATGCTTCCTCTGCTCTAGTTCTCTGCATTTATAGACTTATCAACTAACTCAACTCACCCAACGACCTGTCTCATCGCAAAGGTACATTAATCGAACTCTTAGATGGCTTTACCACCTCGCTACGATTTATACAGACTGCAAAAGGAAATTGGTGTACTGTACTATTTGGTTTATGTAATTTTTAAAAATCTCTCTTCGAAAAATTGTAAATCATAAAAAATCTCTGTATAAAGTTGCGCTTCCTTCGAAGTACAGTTCTGTCCAGTTCGTCATCATATCATAAGTATTCTCTATTTTTATATTTTTTATGCTTTATTGTCTTCAACGTTTGCCGTTTACGAGTACTAGTTCTTAAAATGTCCGTGTTCTTCCATTCTATTTTTGATTATTCTTTTGTCGCTTGATCCGAAATCGAGACTTTTTAATTATATTCCTTTTGATTTTATGGGAACTGTGGATTGTTTAGTAATAAAAACCTGTTGCAGTGATATTGCGGAAACCGAATTTGAAATTGGATTATGTGTTTGCTTTTATTTTTGGATCTGTTAGAGTGAACTTAGGTGAGGGATTGATTAGATCAGATCCGATCAGATTAGAGAGCTTAATACCATCTTACAAATTATTCATACATAATTATTTATAACGTTTATTTTTCATTCGTAATTCTTCGATCTCTTGTAATAGAATTTTACAACCACTAAAACTATTCACAGCAGTTATTTTTTGTATGTAAGAAAATACTTCCAGTGTATGTGTATGAATGCGTAGGCAGCAAATAGTAAAAATTAAATAAATTGAGGTTAAGCAGAAGCAAGTGGCTGTAGACAGTGTTGAACAACGAATAAATGATAATTGCTTAGACTAACATTCGAGGATATTATTTAGAATATCACACATGCTATGCTTCTTTTTGTTTTTTGTTTTTTTGGTTTGTTTTCTCTTTTGGTTGTCTGTTAGTATGTTTAGTATATTTTTGGTATTTCTTTTAAGTATTTCTTTTTATTTGCAGTCAACAACTGAACTAGTATTTTCATAAATATTTCAACTTGATTAACTTATCGTTCACATTTCAATGAATTCTTACTATTAATAGAATACTTTTGCAATTATACATATACATGTTAATCTTCGTATATTTCATCTGTGTAGAGCTAAACTGAATACATATTTAGTTTCTTTTCAGTATTGGGCATGATAAGTTGAACTTGAAACTGAATGCTACTAGGTAAATAAAAGATAATGAGTTAAACTCTTGGAAATGCGATTGGTTAAAAGTTTCTTTGGGATTACACTACGAAAAGCGTTTAGCAATTAAAAGTCCTCATGGCTAGGTAGGGTATACAACTGGGTTATATATTGTATATATAATATATATTTTGGGATTTATAAAGTTAACAGTTAACGCCTAAAAACAGTTTTCAACTAAATGCTACGGCAACAGAAATGGAAAAAGATTACATGTGTTTTTTACTCTCTTCAATAACCCGTTTTTAGTTCAATTGTAGCTCATTGTACATAGTTTAGTTGTGTGTAAGAGTGTGTTTGTGTGTGGGTGTGGGTATTAAAATATGGTTTCAACAATTTTGGGTTTACATATTTCTTAAACTGTTATATAATATTTTATTTTATGTTGTTTTTCTCTTAATCTTAAGTTTTTTTAAACATAAATTTTGTTAAAATACTTAATGTAAATATATAAATGGTTTTTTGCGCTATCTTCGCAGTATATATATATATATTTTTAGCATATTGCCAATAAATATATACATATGTATATACATTGTATATTATATATGCATATTTTTATAGGTATCTCTTTGACTTGAACCCTATACTCGATAGGTTTGGCTTACCCTGGCCACACTTGTTTATCTACACATCGTAGGCGTCCTTCTTGTAGTTTTGCTTTCTGCTAGTTGGCACATTTAGATGATTGCCGCCCAGTTTTTTGAGGGGCGTAGCTGCATTAATTGTTGTCGAGCGCATCATCATCATACGCATAGTCATGGGCTTATCCTCCTCGTCCTCGTCGGAGAAATCACTCTGGGTTTTCACATGACCGCCCAATGCGGGCCCACTAAAGTCATTCTCATCATCCTCATCGTCGTCCTGCTATGGCAAAGATAATACATTATTAAATAAGTCAACCATTGCTTATCATAAAATAAAAATATATCTGAAAACCATAATCATCTATAAATAACACATATATTCATGTTCAGCTTATTTATTATTAAACACAAAACATATGGACACGCGGCGTATGCGCAATATCACAAAGCTTCAAGCCGACGGCAAAAGCTCTCGTTAACAACCGACAGAGGGCGCTGCACGCAGCGCCAACGGTGGCAGTTTTCGTTACTAACAAACCATAACAGAATTTTAATAAAAATATACTACAATATTTCTGGAAACACACTCGATAGAACACAAATACAAAAACAACAACAACACAAGAGAACAAAATTGGAAGTAATTAGATTTACGTGTTATTTTGTTTTCTT